TTGTAACTTTGTAAAACTTTTGTACATAGATCTTTATTTGTACTAACTGTTATTGTGAAATTGTATTATTGATTGTATATTAAAATATATTTGTATTAAAAAATAAACTATGTGTATCACTCTTGTTGGCAAATATCATAAATTGGCTACATATCGGCATTTATGTAACTTCTAAATCTAAATTACAATTTTAGGCTATTTGAAATTGTAATATATAAGATATATATCTTTCATTTGATATTTTTTTCAGTTGAACTCATATTATACATATATATATAAGGCGTGCTGCACTTTTCCCTTACTTTATTAGTTTTAATATTTAATATTTTGCCACATACATTTTAAAATGCAATTTTTTTGTTGAAATAGTTTTTATTTTGGTAGGATGTCACTTAGGCTTAAGCTTGAAATAGTTTTTTTGTTCTAATGTGCTATACATGTGACAATTGTTAAGTATAACTTACTAGATCTCTGAGACAATTGTTAAGTATAACTTACTAGATCTCTGAGACAATTGTTGAGTATAACTTACTAGAACTCTGAGACAATTGTTAAGTATAACTTATTAGATCTCTGAGACAATTGTTGAGTATAACTTACTAGATCTCTGAGACATTTGTTAAATATAACATTTTGACCTAAAGAACTAACACCACAAATTTAGAATTGACAAACTACAGTATATCATTTTATAGTGGAACCTACTTGATATAAAATAAACTATAGACGAACATGAAAAATGCGTAAAACAAATATTAAATATGTATACAATCAAATTGTCTGCGACGAATATTGTAACAAACAAGGAATAATTGTGATTCTTTTTCACACGCGCTCTGATACCAACCCGTCGCAGGGTTCTTGAGCTCTGCCTTAGAGTTCTAAAGTTGCAAGAAGCGCGATTATTGACATATTTTGTGCATCTGGCAACGTGTACGTTTTACAACTTGGTTTCAGCGTCAAGCACATAACAAATACTTAAAGGTCAGATAAATCTAGGTCAAGCTTGGTATTTTATGTTAAACTGAGAGACTGGAAAAACATCTATGTTAACAGAGTTGCTAAATCCAAAATAGAGGAACAGTTATATAATTAACTAGGCGTATACATCAATAATGTTATCAAAGACAAAAAAGACGGACAGTTTTATAAATAACTAGCCGCACTTAAAAAACGTATACATCAACAATGTTATGAAAGAATAAAGGGATGGACAGTTTTATAATTAATTAGACGTACTTGAAAAACGTATATATTAACAATGTTATCAAAGACAAAAAAGACATACAGTTTTATAATTAACTAAACGTACTTGAAAAACGTATACATTAACAATGTTATCAAAGACAAAAAAGGCGGACAGTTTTATAATTAACTAAACGTACTTGAAAAAACCTATATATTAACAATGTTATGAAAGAATAAAGGGATGGACAGTTTTATAATTAACTAGACGTACTTGAAAACGTATACATTAACAATGTTATCAAAGACAAAACAGACAGACAGTTTTATAATTAAGTAAACGTACTTGAAAAGCCTATATATTAACAATATTATCAAAGACAAAAGAGACGGACAGTTTTATGATTAATTAGACGTACTTTTTAATACTGTTTGAACCATAAGTCAACGACGACGATACTGAGGAATGTTAAATCATCTATACTTTCTATCTCAAAACGAAAAACAACGACTGTATTATAGATTCAGACAATCATTATGTCAGTTAAATTTAGATTTAGAATTTCATCTTATAGTACAATGAAAAATAAGTGTATAGTTCATTGTGTTTTGTAGGGGGGGGGGCTTGGATTTGTTTCTACTTCTACATATAAAAGTTTAGCCGGCGTGGAAGTAAGGTCTAGTGATCAATTGCCAATTAAGAACGGAGATAACAGTACCAAACAATTAGATCTTTATTACAAGAGAAAAGTAGAAATGATAGATAAGTTTGGCTTATGTAATAAGGTATAAAGGTCCAAATAAGAAAAATAGTTGTCTGCTGCGATTAGGATTTTGCGCTTCAAAGAGAATTTTGTGAAATGAAGGAGGAACAAAACAACAACAGATTAATGTTACTTTTAGAAACAAAATTGGCCAAGATAACGTTACAATTGATGTTTGATGAAGAAAATTTAAATATTTTATGACGAGAACAGATGCAGAATTATTCTTTGGCCGCTTTTCTATTCTGAATTGTATTTTTTAATGGAATTACACTTTAAGAATACGTATCGTTCATTTTTTTCTGATAGTAAAATTCATAATTAAAATTTGTTGCGTAAAATAAAGGCTTATAACTATTCTATTATTTTCACAATATAACAAAATAGCATAACAAAATTTTAAAAAATCGTAACAAACTTTCACAACCTGATTACGAGGCCTAGAACTATTTTATTAAAAACAAAACAAAATAATTAGTATAATTAGAACAAAGACCATAGTTATTTTTTCGTTCCTTTAAACTGCTATTTTCACGTTGTTTCAGACCTTTAATTACTACATTGTTTTTATATTGCCATTTTAATATTGTTCCAAATCTTTAATTTTCACCTTGTTTTAAATCTGCCATTTTAACTTTGTTTTAAACCCGGTATTTTAATGTTGTTTTAAGTCTGCTATTTTCACTAATTACGTTTATGTAATGTCTACAAGCATCTAATGTTCTAGGAAACTTTAATTAGGTTTTACTTTAGACTGGTTATCTGATGTTCCTACAATGTTGTTTTTTTTTTTACTTCTATAGCCTATATGCACATGCAGGAAAGAACTGTCATATCGAATTGCTTTAAAAAAGTTCTAAACATCCACGTTTCCAAACCTAACGAATTAGCAGGTTATAATAGCAGTGAACAGTGCTGGAACATGGATAATTCTATAGGCCAGAATGGAGATATCATGTTGACAGTCTCTGATGGTCCCAAACCTACGATGAAGGAAAGAGGTAAATCCAATTTAAGTTTGATATCCAAATGTTCTTCTACCGATAGTGAACAAGGACAAGAACCAGGATGTTCCACGTACCTTCTAGACCCGGAGAATTCAAGGCCATTTATTATACATTTATCACAAGAAGAAAGACATAGCACAACTGCTGAGACAGATTCCAACTTTTCATTTCGAACTAGAGAACATTCTCTGAGTAACTGTCCATTAGATATTCTGTTTTATCACTGGAACTGGGCCGGATTTCGGTTGGGATGTTTTGTAGTTTTTGTGTGTGTTCTGGTTGGAATGTTCTGCTTTGTACTGAAATGGGTAACCTCCCAGACGTCTCACTGTGTCCCAACCAGAGGATGGTGGCAAGGTACTGTATCATATGAAATATTCCCAGCTTCCTTCCAAGACTCTGATGCCGATGGATTTGGCGATTTCACAGGACTGCGCTGGAGACTCCACTACATACAGACACTGAATGTCGCCTCGATAAGATTAAATTCCATTTTCAGTGCACTGGACTATCCTTTAGAGTACACACATGTTATCGACTTCAAAAACGTCGATCCACATTTAGGAAGGACTTCTGATTTTGAGGAGCTCGTGCAAGACATTCATGCACGGGGTTTATACGTGATATTAGACATTAACCCGGCTCTCACCAGCGACCAGCATCCATGGGCAGCCCATTGGCAGCAAAACAGAAGTGGAGAATATAAATATTTCTACGTTGAAACCAACGACACTAGGGTAAGGATAATATATTTTACCGAGGATTATAAAAGGGATATTACTCAATTATGTGTACAATATAAATTAAATTGAGATATTGAAATAACATAATGGTTTGTGGTTTTTGGAATATTAAAATAAGCATAATTTACCTATTAGTAAAGTTATATATTATTGTTATGAATTGTATTTTTAAGCAGGTGAAGTAAAGAAAAATAACTCATACAGACGATATTGTTACTCCTAATTACTATAATAGTTCTTCTCCACAATAAAGAAAGTCCTTTTTGTTTACCTTCAATCTTTCCTAACCCGCATATTAAATGCATGTTTCACTTTTTTATTTCTATTTTTGAAAATACAAATGATTTATAGAAACAAATGAGTATCGTCAATCAACTTAGTTACTTAAGTACTAATGTTAACCGAAACGAATGCTATATCCTCAACATAAGTGACTTTAAGAAATTTAAAAAAGGGTACAACGTTAAACACAGGAAATAAAAAAAATTAACAAAAGTACATATAGTCGAATGTAAGCATTCATTTGGAATTAAACTGGTATCTATCAGCAAGGAATATAAAATAAAAAACTTACATTTTGATGCTTCTGTTGGATATGAAATGTTATAAACAGTTATTGTGAAACTATAAATCAGATCTTTAGTTTCACTTCATCATATCTGTATTGTTGTGAAGCGTAATATTGTGAATACAAAATGAAATAAAACAGGGCAGGACAAGATAAATTGATGAAATACTATCTGCTCTCAATGGCCAATCCCTAATATTTTTTTATTGTTCAGTCTGGATAGTGTTGCGATATTGTTTTGATTACATTGTTTATTTTTAGTGGGTGTTTTAGCGTTAAAAATGATAAGTAGTATCTAGCCTTCTAATTTTTAGGGAGAAAGCACTGGTCCTCAAGATGAAAAGAAATATCCAAATAGACCATTTGGAGGGCATCTGTTTTTGAATTGGTCCCATCTGGCTGTTCAAAGGGAAATTAACTCAGTGTTTGAGTTCTGGCTGCAGAAAGGTGTGGATGGATTTTACATAAAAGGTCTAGAACATCTCCAATTTGTGCTGGAGATAGATTTATATATTGTGATGAAACAATGGCGCCACCTTCTTGACAAGTACAGTACACCTAATAAAAAAAATATTTTACTTGTCTCTTCTCAATTCATACAAGCTGTAAAAGAAAAAAAGTTTCGGTATATGGTTTCGTTATTGAAGTTGTGTGATATTTTAGACTTTCGTTTACATTTCAATGGGACGAACATCAAAGACTTCAAAGAGCAGTTAACTGTGGCTGATGAATGGAGTTCTTATTCACCGTCATCTTGGGTTAACTGGCACCTAGGTAGCTGCGAGACAACGAGGCTGGCTACGAGGATAGACACAACGTATACCTTAACCACCATGATCTTACTGCTGACGTTACCTGGTTCTGTTTCGTTATTCTACGGTGACGAGATTAACCTCCAGGATTCAAAAGATGCTCTAACTGGGAAGGTGAGAGAACCAACAACTTTTCGATCCAAAAAAAACTTGATTTAAACTTTTGTGTGTGTGTGTGTGTTCTAATAATATATATTATCAGTAAAACATCCACAAAGACGGGTTACTACATCTATAAATCAATTACAGTTAATCTAGATGTCTCTGGGCTATTTTTGCGCTTCAAATATTTTTTATTGAGTTGAAAATGTTTTCTTTGAGGGATTTTGTATCACACTTCTACAACATAAACAGAATTTTATACGCTATTTTTTGTTTCAGTTTAGTGGTTTCGCATCATTTTATAAAACGTAATTTGAGTTCGGGATCAGTTCACTGCAAAATAAATTGTATTCCAACAATTTAGTCAACTTACACTGAGCAATAACAAGCTCCCTATTGCATAAAACTTTGGAATTTTATTTCAACCATTTTGTTGTTTCATTTCTTACTTTTCTATATCTTTAACAAAATGCCTCCTCCTTCACCCAGTAGCACAGCAGTATGTCTGCGGACTTACAACGCTAGAATCCGGGTTTCTATACCCGTGGTGGGCAGAGCACAGATAGCCCATTGTGTAGCTTTGTGCTTAATTACAAACAAACATTTACGCCATATCCACTCATTTCACAATTAATTTCAACCAAATCTGGGTTTCGCAACAGATAGCCCATATAACCTTGGTTGGACACGAAAATATATTCCAGGTCAGAAATGTGAACGTGACTTATTTAAATATCGCATTCCCTAAACATGTAATTATCTTTTTTACAATACTTGTTTATTATCCACCACCCCCTATGTGAAACTACAGTTTGGACAAAATACTACCACTATCATGACAATCTTAATTAAGTCACAATGACCCTGTCGCAGTTATAAAACATAAATACTGAAGTAATAATTCAGAAATAGTGACTTTTGTATTAATATTAGGTATGCGTAACCTCTTTGAAATTTCTACCATGAAAATATAAATAAAACGAAAGAAAAGTAAACAAGAAGATTGGTTAATCGAACATAAGTATTTCCATTTTGTTTTTACTTTGCCAGAAAACTAACTTGCTTTACTAAATGCTAGGCTATTTGTGTTTGAAACCCTGTTTTTTGGTAATGCTATAATATCAACCGTTTTTCGCGACCAATATACAAGAAGAAAGGCTTAGATCGTGCTCTGTACTTAAACTTGTGCTTTGTTCTACCTGAAGAGAACTATATATTTTTTAGATTTGAAAATCTGTTCTAAAAAAATTGCATGTGTCAGCATATATCTTGAGAATATTTATCAGCATTTTTCCTCCGAGATTCATGGCTTTTATACGAACTTTCAAGCCAACAAATTCTTGCCCCACATGACGTCAAAACCGTGAGCTTCAGAAGTAACTAAAGGCTATTAAATGTTGCGTGGAAACTATTCAGTATTTCGCTCCAAACAGCTTACCACTTGAAAATATTGTAATCTTAAAAAACGAAAAGGAAACAGAATGGTAATAATTGGCTGTTTGTTTTCTAAAAATGTTCATAGTATTTCCGAAAACAGAAAGTAAAGATAAGGAAAAATTTATGTCCAGAGGCAAAAAAAAAGAAAGAAAATGGCTAGATTACAGTTTTCCTGCCAAACAGATTACACACTCAAATTCAATATTGCTAATGATGTGTTAAATTTTCTTTTTTAAAAAGCAATATTTTATTTTCAATGCAAATTTTGATTACTTGGGTAACAGGTGGTTAGGGTGCTCGACTCGCAATTTGTGGGTCGCGGGTTCGAATCCCCATCACACCAAACATGCTCGCCCTTTCAGCCGTGGGGGCGTCATAATGTGACGGTCAATCCCACTATTCGTTGGTAAAATAGTAGCCCAAGAGTTGGCGGTGGATGGTGATGACTAGCTGCCTTCTCTCTAATCTTACACTGCTAAATTAGGGACGGCTTGCGCAGATAGCTCTCGTTTAGCTTTGCGCGAAATCCATAACAAACAAATTAACAAACAAACAATTCACAAACGGAGACGTGATGAAATGACTAATCAGAATATACAATCTAACATCTTCCCTTATGCCATTTTTGAGTTCTGTTTCCGTTTCATAACTAAACTAAATCTATTTCCAACCGTAAATTGTTCTTGACTCCAAGTAGCTCAGCGGCATGTCTGTGGACTTACACCCGCACTCCAAGTAGCTCAGCGGCATGTCTGTGGGCTTACAGCACAGACATCCCATTGTGTATCTTTGTACTTAATCACAAACAAAGAAACAAACGAAAATTGGTTTCTGGTGACGAAATTCTTCCTTTTGATATATGTGGTAATTGAAGAACAATTATATTTTGACAAAACTGGTAAATTTTACATATACAATGGCCATCAAAGTGCTCAACTGTAACTAATAATTATGGCTCAAAATATTTATTTCAAATTAGGCACGTGGAATTTACTGGATATAAGTATAAATTATTGCATCTTTTTAGCAATTTTCTTAATTCATTTAATACATGTTACCTTGCTTAATTTCTAGAAATTAACAAAATAAATACAAATAACAGCGTTTGCTTCCTCGCTGCTGGCAATTGATTTTACCACCGAATGTTTTAAAAATAAGGAAATATCATACCATGATTTCTTGTTTTAAGTTCTATATAAAGAAAATCATAACGGTTTACTTTGTCTAAACAATTTGTGATTAAGTAATTTTCTATTAAACTGTATAAAGCATTAAAGGACAACACCAGACAAGAAAATATGCGCATAAATAATTCATACGAGTATGAATCATATCAGTGCCAAAGAATTGGTGAATTTGGATTTATAGAAGAAAAACAGGTTCGTACTAGGAATATCTAATTCTTTTCAACTAAAACAACCTAGACTTATTTTTAATATTTTGCGATGTATAACTTATTTACAAGATTGAAAACCAAAGGGCAGTTGAACGTAAAATTTAAATACTAATAATCTTTCAACATTCGAGACTGAACGGCCACTAATACTTTCAGTAATTTTGTTAATTGATGTTTTTGGCATAAGTATGATAAAAATAAAGAAAAGAAACAGTATGTAATAATGAAACATTCAGTATAAGTTTATCTAACTCTGATTATTTCCTAACTTTAATACGCCTTTATAATCCCATATATTGCTGGTTGCGAATCAGTCTTACGTCAGTTATGTTTTATTCTATTTTTGTTTTTTCGTACGAGTTGAATTGAACTAACCGAAACTAAATTTAGGTTTGCCTTAATTACAGAGATGAATTTCAATGAAAAAAGAATTGAAGGATTAAGCACGAATTACATTTTAGGATATTAAACTTTTTGGTGCTGTATTTCTTTGATATTACTTAGGCGTATCATAGTTTAATTTATTTTTTATCTTCCTTCGTTGAGTTCATTTTAAGAAAACTTGGTAAATATACATTTAGTATAATGATATACCCTTCAAACAAACTAAAAACAAAAAGTAAAATAATATCTGCTTTGAATATTTTCTAGAAAGAATTTAGTCAGACTTTTCTTTGTTTTAGTTAACCAGTAAATAATTAAAATAATTTTCCATGTTAAAAAACTACTTGAGAATTAAACGTTCATATGCTTTTCTGTGTTTCGATCTTTTTAAGTATAGAAGCTTGAAAAATGTGAGCCCTGTGATTTAGCAACTGAATTGTTGCTTTCTCAAACAAAACTCTCATAAAAAAACTGGCTAATTTTGTCTAGATTGAGTATATGTTACGTAGCAACGCTGCCTGTGTATATAGCATTAACTGCAGCTGTGAGCTTCGTGCAGAGATTTGAAGAGTGTAAGGCAAATTAAGGGCTTAACATAAAGGACTGACTATTGTGAGAAATCTCGGGTTCTGCGATGGTAGCTCCACATTTTTTTTATCTTGTTTAACAAGCCTAGAACTTTAGCCTCACATTTTTTATCTTGTTTAACAAACCTAGAACTTTAGCCTCACATTTTTTTATCTTGTTTAACAAACCTAGAACTTTAGCCTCACATTTATTTATCTTGCTTAACAAACCTAGAATTTTACCCTTACATTTATTTATCTTGCTTAACAAACCTAGAATTTTACCCTTAAATGTATTTATCTTGCTTAACAAACCTAGAACTTTAGCCTTACATTTATTCATCTTGCTTAACAAACCTAGAACTTTAGCCTTACACGACATGCAAAGAAAAATATTTTCATTTTGTAGGAGAATAAGATGTGAAATGTGAAAAAATAATATATTTTTATCCTTATTTAGAAAAAGAACCTAAGAAACAGGTTTGATATTTTCACATGCAATTTATTGTTAAATTAAATAACGAAACTAGTAGTTTAGAATTACTTAATTCTAGTTTTATATTTCATTTTTTACCCATTTCTCAAAGAAGAAATTAAATACATTATAGAAGAAATAGGATTTATAATTTTTACACGTGACTGGTAGTTAGAATGGAAAACGCATTTCATAATTTGTAATTCTTAAATAAAACTTTAATTTCATTTCTATATCTTAAAACCGATCAATATGTTCGAACAGGTTTTTGTTGCTGTATCTTAAAATAGGTAATGCATAATATAACGAACTGGAAATTGTGAATTCAACAACAGCAACCATCACCAACAAAAAACAAACATTCAAACACACCTTAAGGTGCGTAGGCTAATTTGGTCTCAGAGATCTAGTAAGTTATACTTAACAATTGTCTCAGAGATCTAGTAA